GGGGGATCGCAGTTCCCCCGGGTGAGGTACGGGGGGGGCACATGACGAAGCCCCGCCCCCCGCTTCCGGCCACCCCGCTTCCGGCCCTCATTCAGCCAGGAGGAGGCAGGAGAAGAGGGAGGGTAAGTTGTTTCCTCCCTGCCTCTCCCCACCCCTGCCTGCCTGGGGCCAGGGAGGGCCTTTGCGGAGCTTCCTTGCACTCCCGCCGGCCTTGCAGGTCTACCGCCAGGCCCCTCATGGGGCTCGGGAGTGGAGCTGCAAGGCCGGCGAGGGCCGGGACCATTGGGGGCGGGGTGGGTGGCCTTATGACACACTTCCGGTGATGTCAGGGGGTGTGGCATATGCTAATGAGTTATGCTAATGAGTTTCCCTAGCTCTTTTTCTACGAAATGACCCCTGATCTGAGGCATGTGAGTATGTCTCTTCTTGGTCTACTCTTCTCCAGGCAAAACACGCCCAGTTCCTTCAACCTTTCCTCAGAAGATTCATCTGCTAGACCACTGACTAATTTTATTTATTTATTTTGATTTGTATCCCCCCCCCTCCCCACAAGCGGGCTCAGGACGGGTGACGACAATGGAAATACAAGTCATCCAAACAATTTAACAATAAATAGTTAAAACAGGTAAAACACTTAAGATGGCAGGTAATATAGTACTCGAGAATATATAAGGTTCCGGCCATACGGAATGATTAAAAACAACCAGGCCATGGAACCAGGAGCGATGATAGATCTCCTTAAAGGTGTTCCGGATCCAAACAGGGGGAAGGGGGGGGGGCTTCAGCAAGGGAGGCCAAATTATTAGCCGCCCGTCGCCTCAACCAAAGGCCTGGTGGAAGAGCTCCGTTTTGCAGGCCCTAAGAAACCTCAATAGGTCTCGCAGGGCCCTGATCTCAGACGGGAGCATGTTGTTCCACCAGACCAGGGCCAGGGCAGAAAAGGCAGACATCATTTGGGCAGAGGGCAACCAGCAAGTGTTGGTCCGCCGAGCGCAGGGCTCTCCGGGGACATATGGGGAGAGACGGTCCCTTAGATATGTCAGTCCCAGGCCGCATAGGGCAGATACGTTGGACTCTTTTGTTACAAGGGCCGGATCCGACATAAATGTCTCTTTGTTGGGCTGGGCCATGTGTGGCATAAAACGTAACACCAGGTACCGAAGCTATAAGCTCCGAGTTGGGGTATCCTCACTGCAAGGCCCCATGGGCTGGGAGGGGGATGCAAAGGAAAACCGATATGGGCAGACTGGAGAACCAGCAGTGCAACAACTGGGCAGACGCTCCCACGCTCCTTGACTGCTGCGGACAAGGCTGTTCTGCTATGCTGAAGCCACAGTCGGAGTGGCTCCTCCCACTCCCCCCCCCCCAGCAGTCTCCTGTTCCCTCCCTTGCACTAGTTGCTCGCAGGCCCCATAAAAGTCCTGGATGGGCCGGCTCCGGCCCCCGGGCCTTATGTTTGACACCCCTGGCATAGGGCTTTAAAAGTCAATGCCAACGACTTGAAACGGATCCGGTATTCGATTAGTAGCCAAGGGCAATATTGCTGCCCTCCCTTGGTACCCATATCCCACCAGTCTTATTTAGTGGGTGTGCCCCCCCCCCATGTTTATGTCTCAAAGATACCAGTGCTCCCCCCCCCCCCGCTGGTGGTTGGACACATCGACCCAGCTGGCCACGAGGCAAAGCCTTTTGGTACTAACCGTCAGAGTCTCCGCTCATGTTGAAATCCATCATCGCATGGCTAAACTTCCCGTCCTCGTTCTGCTTCACTGCCAGTTGTTGAGTCAAGTTCTCCAGTGTCGTTTTGTCCTGGGTGGGGAGAGAAGAGAAGAGAGGGCCCAAAGCAGCCGTTTTACGAACATGCAATGGAACGGCAAAGCCTGTAGGTAATCTGCAAGGTCCCCCAGGGGGAGAGGGATTAGCAAACAGTAACGAAAGCATTCGGAAAAATAAATTTAAAGAGGAAAAACACACGCATATGTGTAATTACATTTTTGGGGGGGGAGGTGTTGTGAGTGGGAAGAATGATGGCCCGCGCATTCACCACCTTCCATTTGAGAAGACAACCGAGGAGCCGATGATGAGCGAACTTCAAGAATGTGTGAAATTCAGACAGGGCTGACCCCCCCCGTCCTGGAGCGCCCCCCCCCCCCGCCCAGCTAGCCTGCTTCGCAGTTGGCTCTTAAGGTTCTTCTGCTTTTGCGCTGCAGGGAAATTCAGCTACATCTTTTCTTTGTCGAGCCCCCAGAACCATCGAAGACATTGGCTTTGCCTGACATGTCGCTCGATACCTTGGAAAGCTTGCGAGAGATAACCGGCTCATCTACAGGAAGTTTAGCACAAGCCAGGGATCTTTTTGACGTTTCCGCTAGTCTTGGCTAACAGGCCGGTCCTCTCACAGAGACCGTCTTGATACTTAAGACTTGCCACACCCACATTTTATTTTGTTCAGTCCTCTATATGGCGCCTAGAAGGAAATTCCTTGCTAAGATTTTGAAGGAGTCCTCAACGGGTGACCTATCGGCAGCACGGTGCCCGCTGACACCTTCCCCGGTATCTGCCGAGTGTTTTTAGGAACTGAATGGGGCCAGGTGGGTTTTTTGCCTTGTAGGGCTTCTGATGGGGCACCAAAGGTCTGATGTGGAGGTTTTCTAACAAGAGGCTTTGACAGCTGCTATCACCACAGCACAGAAATCTTTGTAGAGTTGCCAGCCTCCAGGCGGCGGCTGGAGATCTCCTGGGATTACAATTGATTTCCAGGTGACAGAGATCAGCTCCCCTGGAGAAAATGGCTGCTTTGGAAGGTGGACTCTGTGGCATTATACCCCGCTGAGGTCCCTCCCCTCCCCAAACCCCGCCCTCCTCAGGCTCCACCCCCCAAAATCTCCAAGAATTTCCCAACCCAGAGCTGGCAACCCTAGATCTTTGCCGCACGACTGAAGGTAAGCTCTGTGTATGCAAGACAGTTTTTAAAAATAATGTGTTCATTTTAAAAAAGGCATCCTGTTCAACAGAGCTTCTGCCCTGAAATGCTGAAGTGTTACTATTCGAGTTATGCATGACCTCGCTCCCTGGCTGGCTCCACCCCCATGGCAGCCATTTTGTGGTCGGCTCCACCTCCCGGGACAGCCATTTTGTAATCGCACTCGCTACCCTCGGTCAGAATTGAAGAAGTGGCTGCCTGCTCAAAAAGCTTGTGGGCCCATGGCTTAGGTCCTTCCACAGTGGAGGAGAAATTATTCTTTTATGACTCTGATCAGGATGTCTCCTACAGAGTGCTACAGTTTGCTTGGGCAACTAAGAAAATACAAACCAGACCTGTACTTAAAGGCTGAAGTATATTATTTAACTCAGGGGTCGTTTCGTAGAAAAAGATCCAGGGGAACTCATTAGCATAACTCATTAGCATATGCCACACCCCCTGACATCACCAGAAGTGTGTCATAAGGCCACACCCCCTGACATCACCGGAAGTGTGTCATAAGGCCACACCCCCTGCGCCCAACGGTCCCGGCCGCCGGCGGTGGACTTGCAAGGCCGGCGGGAGTGCAAGGAAGCCCCGCGAAGGCCCTCCCGGAAGCAGGGGGCAGGGCTTCGTCATGTGCCCCGCCCCCCGTACCTCACCCGGGGAAACTGCGCTCCCCGCGATCCCCCCCGAAATGACCTCTGATTTAACTAACTGTATTTTGGTAAAACAAATTTAGAGTAGAGTTCTACTGCTTCAGATCAACATGGCTGACCACCTGGAACTATAGTTTGGCAAGTTTTAAAATGTGTTTTAACCTTGCTTTGATCTACTGTTCATTGTTTATTTTGTTTATATGTTTCTTTTCTTGTTGTTGTTTTTTAACTGTAGTGGCCCTTGGCCTCATACAATAAATGCTTCTTGACTTGAAGAGCCATCAGAATGCCATCTTGGGGATACAAGACTGACATATGCACCAGGAGCAGTGCCTTCTCTGCGGTTGCCCCATTTATTTTATTTTTTAAATTTACTTCATTCTGACCTGCTTTTGTCCTCAATGAGGACCGAAAATGGCTTTTGTCATTCTTGTCTCCTACATGGCAGCATGGTGACTGAAACACGGTTCTCCCAGATCCTTTTCCAACTGTAAATATTACCCAGTGGTGGGTTTCCATTGTGATGGCTTGTTCCACCAAGAAGCACAAGTCTCTTGTTCACTCTCCTCTTTTTGGAGACCAGGTGACAGCTTTCTGAGGAGTGATTCACACATTACAAAGTCCTCCTTGTGGAGGATGTGTCCTGGGTGTTCCAGGTTTCCCAGGTGTTGACTGTAGTGCTCTAACCCAACCTTGGCTGTTAGTTTCCTTTGCAATGTCCCCCCGTACATTAATCACATCCACGTGCATGATAAAATACTGTTTTTAAAAGCTATCTTGAAATTATCATATGACCAAACACATCAAGATTCTTCCTGTGCATGTTTTAGCTCACGCAGACTTGCTGACACTTCTCAAACACCACAGAAAAGTGATCTCCATGCAACCCTCTGTGCAATCACATCTAAAACTGGTGTTTGATCCAGGGCTCTTTTTGTAGGAAAAAGCCCAGCAGGAACTCATTAGCATATTGGGCCACACCCCCTGACAGCACAGCTCATTAGCACATTAGGCCACACCCCCATGTTACCAGAAGTGTGCTCATCCAGCCACACCCCCCTTTTGCTTGTTATTCTGTTTACCTTGTTTGTTGTCAAAACCCAGGGGTTTTTTTTTGGTAGCAGGAACTCTTTTGCATGTTAGGCCACACACCCCTAATATAGCCAACCCGAATGAGTTCCTGCTGTTGGGTGTGGCCTATTATGCTAATAAGTTCCTGCTGGGCGTGGCCAACTCGGGACCCAGCCGGAACTCCGTTCCTGTGTGTTCCTGCCCAAAAATAGCCCTGGTTTGATCCATTCACACATGCTTACTGACGACGTAGGAAGGGGGGGAAGGAGGCCAAAGGACTGGAAGATGCGTTCAACTGTGCATGCTCCAGTTCCGGCATGAAACTTCTAGCTGAACTGAAATTAAGGAGAAGTGAAATCCCACAGTGAAATTCCAGAACTTGGAACAGCATGGGATAAGATCCTGTCACCCTCAATTAATCGTTCCTGCAAAACATTTTCAGATGTGGGACCACTCCTGCGCCGCCAAATCATAATGTGGGAAGGAAAGACAGTCCTGCGTGCTCCCAGTCGCCCGCTGCAACTTTCTCGCGGCTCGCGGCTGCCTCTCTCTGCAGAATACAGATGCGATAAGGGGAGGCAAACGCAAACTCTTGTTTCGGTGACAAGGTGACCCCCTAACCTCCCGCTACTAAAACATGCGGTATAATAAAATAATTCAATTAGCTGCTATGAAAGAGAAAGTTTAGATAATCCTCGGAGGGTGTCACTCTGAAACAGAGCGAAGTCAAAACAGTCAGTCCCGTTTTTGTGGTGCCCCTCTGAGACATGACTTAAGCGAACCCTCAGTCAATCTCCGCGTGGGGGAACGGGAGCGGGCTGGCATGCGGGAGCAGGCCATGGGGCGAGGGAGGTGAGAAAGGAGTCACAAAAAGACTTAATTATAAAACAGCGGAGCAGCAGTCAGCAAGGCTGAAGCAGGCCCGGGCGTTACACTTAACTCACTGCCGCCACAGTGCCAAGGAACAAAACGAGACAGTTAAAGTGTGTGTGGGGGGGGAAGAAAGCAACAAACAAAAGAGAAACAAGAACACCCGGGAGACCAGGAAAGGTTATTTGATTCAAACAAAGGACACGGATAATCCATAAATTAAATAAAGTAAAATCGAGGAAGGGGATGGGCTTTATTCAAGCAAAACCTCTACTAGGAGAAAGGGGGGGGAGGTTACAGGGGATGAAACGGACAGTTTTTTAAAAAAGTCATGATTAATGACCAAGATTTCGGGTCTGTGGCCTGTGCTCTAAGGGGAGGGTCAACTGAGGATGGCTGGAACTTTGCGTTTGAGTGCAATGCTGTTGGGACCGACGGAGGAGACGGGGGAAATGACCCAAACGGAAAAGCTCCTGTCATGTAAGGAGCAATGCAGCAATGCCACGTACTTGTGGACAGATAAAGCTGCCTTCTACTGAATCGGACCATCGGGTCCATCAAGGTCAGTATTGCCTACTCAGACTGGCAGCAGCTCTCCGGGGTCTTAGGCAGAGGTCTTTCACATCATCTACGGCCAGATCCTTTACTGGGCATGCCGGGGATTAAACCTGGGACCTTCTGCATGCCGAGCAGATTCTCTACCACAGAGTCATGGCCCTTCCCCAGTTTGGTCGGTCCTTAATTATCGGGGAGAAACCTAACCTTTATTTCAGATAAGTGAACAAGATTTGAGTCCAGTAGTACCTTAAAGACCAGTAAGATTTACTTGGGTATAAGCTTGGGACAGTCAAAGCTCCCTTCATCTTTGACTCTTGAAAGCTACACGCTGTAAGTCTTATTGACCTTCATGGTGCTACTCCGCGGTCATTTCGTAGAAAAAGAGGTGCAGGAGCTCATTAGCATAACTCATTAGCATAACTTATTTGCATATGCCACACACCCTGACATCACCAGAAGTGTGTCAGAAGGCAACACCCACTGCTCAGGCTCCACTGGACTGTTTTGGATTGCTAGCTATTCGGGGGGGGGGGGGGATGCACAGATCCTCATGCTCCTCGTGGCCCGGGGCTGCTGGGAGCAGGGGGTGGGGCTTGTTGCATGTGCCCGCCCCCTGGGCTCTTTACTGCCGGAGCTCCGCTCCTGTGCGCTCCTGCAGGAAATGACCCCTGGTGCTACTGGACTCCAGC